AGTTGCGTATCCTTTACAGCACGTTGCAGAACCAACCCCATCAGCCACTGGCTGTTGTGTGGTTTCACTGGGCAAAATTACGTCCAGTAGTTTGCCATTGCTTTCTGGACGGTCAGCTCCCTGATACCACTGTCGAAACCAACGCAAGGGGCATGGCCCGCAGCTGGGATCGAACCTGGTACCCCGGCATTACAAAGCGTTTGCATCGACTTAGCCACAGAGCCGACCCATGATGTAGACAATTTCTAAAAAAACAAAAAATGTATGTTATGACAAATTTATCCAAACAGTTTTATCAATCGCACTAAAGACAACTGAACATTAAATCTCCGTTGGTTTTTTTTCCCTCCTCTTCTTTCCTTAGTTTTTCAACTGCTTTGAGTGTAGGTGTGCCGCAATTTTTTTTTTAACCCTACAAGGGGGCCACGGCGAAACAAGTTTGAGAACCCCTGGTCTAGATAGTCACACCTGTGAACTACTTAGACAAAGCCTGTGCATGAATGAGCATATATCTTTTATAGCTTTGTCTGTCATGTATCTGTGACTCGTCTGTTGCGAACAGGCTTCATATTTCCAAACTCCCCCCGTCGATTCTAGCTGTGGGCGATTTGACAACAGATCCCCTTGCATCGAAAACAAATCGTCACGTTCAACCAACATCACCCGAAGGGGTGAGCTTTTGGTTATAATTGTGACTAGGTTTATGTGCGCCATATAAAATGGCTTAACACTGCTTGCCACCAAGTATCCTAGACAAGTACTCTTGTAGTGTTGGTGCCATCAAGAAAGGCAGACCCAAATACTGTCCCGACCGTCGGCAAAGTCGTCTACCGGCGAGCTAATGGGCGACGAGGTGGCAGATGTTTGATCATTTGGGGACATTCCAGCTGCATTTAGCTGCCCTTGTTCTAAAATAACACACTGAACACAATCCAGAATCAAATAAGATCGCGACCAGAAAACGTCACCACAAATATAGCTGAAAGGAAAGTGAGCAGAAATGTGAACGGACCTAGCTGAAAGTGGTCAAAGAAAGAGAATTTGAATTTGAATTTGAAAAATAACACACCAGATCGTTTGACAATGAATACTCCCGATATTGTGTGTGTATCCTTGGTTACAGTGATTATGTCAAGGTGGCCAATACCGTATTTGTACATTTAAATGACTTCCATTATTGGAAACTTCTATAGACTTTGAGCCATGTGTGGCGTATACGGCACATCATGGTTAGCTGCGTATTCTTTACAGGACGTTGCAGAACCAACTCCAACAGCCCCTGGCTGTTGTGTGGGTTTTCTAGGCAAATTTACGTCCAGTAGTTTGCCATTACTTTATGGACGGTCGGCTTTCTTGATACCACTGTCGAAACCAACGCAAGGCGCATGGCCCGCAGCTGGGATCGAACCCGGCATTACGAAGCGTTCGCATCGACTTAGCCACAGAGCCGACCGGCACATCGTATGATGATTTTCAAAAAAAGGTTGAGCTGTAATATGAAAAAAAAAAAAAAAAACACGCTGCCTCCCCAACTTTTTGTGGGCTTCGGCCGAAGTATGTCTGCCCGAGATGTAGGTAACAAGCGATTGCACATAAATAAGGCAGTAAAACGGATGTACACACAAAACTCAGACCGGATAGCACCGGTTCTTTTTAAATCCCACAAGGGCTAAGCCTCTCTCCGCAGAACAGCTAGCTGCCTGCCGAGAGTGTCGCACAGAGCGCGACCTCTGTAGTTCTGGCGACGATCCTCATGGATCTTCATAACGTGCGAGGAAACCGGTTTGAGCACTTCGCCACAGAAACCCCTTTTACTGGCAGAAGGATAGAAGAAGTGAAAAATTACTCAGACCTCTGGTCAAAGTATTTGGCTTAACGCCTTAGGTGTTACGAACGCACTTCGTAATTTGGCAGTAGACCGCATTGCACTATTGTCGACAGTGAATGTGAGAGCCGACCATGCAGTGCAGTGGCAAACCACTAAACGCAAAACTACCTATTAAAACTACATACAACCAATGATGATGGAGTTGGTTCTGCAACGTCTTGTAAAATGATACTCTTCTTCTTCTTCTTCTTCGCGTTCACCAGCTGTAAACTCTAGCGGAGTTCTGGTTGTTCGTCCACTTTATAACTGCAGTCCTGTTCCAGAACTTGAGTGTTGCGTGTGCATACATTTGACATATCTGACCAATGTGTATGCAGACTGTTGGTTCCGTGCCTCAGGCAGATGCACTCTGACTTTGGAGAAAGCTCCCAATTAGTCGACTCTTACGACATGATTTTGGGTAGGCAGTGGATCTATTCTTATTTTCCCTATAATAGGGCCCTGGAACCCTTACGGGTAGAGATAATGAACAACTTTCCTGTTAGGTTTATTGGGAGATGTACGGTAAGAATCGGCCCCTTTCAACATCTCGAAATCTAAAACAGGCCAACAGCGGCAGTTTCTAAAAGTCTTTTGATTCCAAAATGTAAGGAAATTTATTTCTTTACTCTTTTACAGCATATAGCAAACAAAGTAAGTTGACAACAATAAATAATCTTTGTTTATGTGAATAGTAACAGATGACGGTCAGCAAAGTGGTTGGGAAGACTATATATTATTATTAATTCAGACTAAATTGTTGTTATTAATATATTATGCAAGTGTTACAATTAGTAATTAGACCAAATATTAGTAGAGACGGCCTTGATTAGACGTAATTGTGTAAATGGTTAGATTGTTACTCCACTAGACCGTACATCACAGGAGCAGCCGGCTACGGTAAGATTGCTGGCCTGGCAAGCACAAGACCCGGGTTCGAATCCTTGGTTAGAGGTTATGGGGTTTTTCTGTCGGGGGAAAATATAAAACTTTAACAGAGACTAACTGACTGACTTTTTACCCCACCAGGACATCACACAAGCGATAAACACCCAGAATGCCACCATGTGGATGAAGATCACCCGTGGAGAGGTCCCAGAAACCCCTTTCAGCCATTAGACCATATTTATGGCCCGACTATATTTAGAGCACCCTTGATAGGTATCCTGTTTCGTCCTTTTTAGGACGAAATTTTTTGTTTTGTGAAGCCCCACCCTGGCTTTTGCCAGGGGCCGCAATATAGGCAGGCCATAAATATGGCCAATCGTCTGAACGCGGTTTCTGGGACCTCTCCACGGCGATCCTCATCCACATGGTGGCACTTTGTGTCATCGGGTGTTTATCACTTGTGTGATGTCCTGGTGGGGTAGAAAGTCAGTCAGTCGTTAGAGCACCCGGCAGATGTCAGGCTGTGGCTTCAGATAACGAACAATTGCATCCCACATGGGAACGAGTAAAAGTTAACAAAGAGGACACAAACAGTAGATTACACAGTTTATTGACTGACATTCCGCTGTACCCCGTCGGGTGTAGACTACAATAATAGTAATTAACAATCAGGTACATGAATCACGTCTGCCGGAAAGAAACTCTGTTTCTTGCCAGCTCTCCCACCCCACGCTATTTCCCACCCACATTGTCAATTATAATACTTATATTTATTCTATGCCCATCTTCTTGCTGGTCTGCCCCTGCCCATCTTTCCTGGCATTATGCCTTCTTCTATTCTTTCCAATCCGCCAAAATGTTTCAGTTTCTGAGACAAGATGCTGTCTAGTAGCCAATCTTCCTTGATGGTCAAATCTTTTAGAATGTCAGTATTTCTGTTTCTCTTGGTCCATGATATTTTCAGAATCTTTCTATAGCATTTTCATTCAGAAGTCCCTATTTCGTTTCCATACATTAGAATAACCAAATTATTTATTTTGCTGTTGTTGGAACTTTTCCTTCTTTCAGGAAGATAGTGTTCCATTTTGCTAGTTAGTTAGGAACCTCTCAGTCCTTAACTCTTTAAGTCCCAAGGAGCACATCATACGTTCATAGATTCCTATTTAGAAGCCCGATGAAAGCATGATGCGCCGACTTTACGTCTCTCTTGACTACCCCTTGGCCTCTGATGCTAAACCTGCTGGGACTCAAAGAGTTAAGTGCTCGGATCCCCTCCTTAGTAAATCTTGCAGTGGTTGATGATACCAGTTCTGTGTAGTTCCTTATTCTTCTGTGGCTTTCTGCAAAGTGCTCTTTCTAACAAGTGGTTCTTGCAGTCTAGTCCTGGTTGCATATTCAAAGTCATCACTTGATTCTCGCGAACGTCTTACTTCCTGTAGAGCATTGTTGTCAACCTTCCTAATGCCGCAACCCTTTAATACAGTTCCTGATGTTGTGGCGACCCCCAATCATAAAATTATTTTCGTTGCTACTTCATAAATTCAGTGAATATGTGTTTTCCTATGGTCTTAGGCGACCCATGTGAAAGGGTCGTTCGACCCACAGAAGGGTCACCACCTATAGGTTGAAAACCGCTGTCATAGAGCATTCAGAATGTCAGCATGGTCCATGGCTTGTCCACCCTCCACAGTAGCTATCCCTGCAAACTTGCAGAAGGGATAGACCAACTGTTTTCCTAACAAGCATATAGTAACAGTTGACTTATTAGGGAAGCTTCCTTCAAAGTTGCAGTGCATCAGTCTAAGAGGTAAGGAACCAACAGTCTGCATGTAAATAAGCAAGATCTGTAAAATGGATATGCTCGCAAAATTTAAGTTATGGAACAAGGCTAAGTGCAGACGTGAACAAACAAACGAGACATTTTATTTAGAGCAGGGGTTCTCAACCTTCCTAAAGCTGCGACCCTTTAATACAGTTCCTCATGTTGTGGTGATTCCCAACCATAGAATTATTTTTGTTGCTACTTGATAACTTCAGTGAATATGTGTTTTCTGATGGTCTTAGGTGACCCTTGTGAAAGGGTCGTTCGACCCTTAAAGGGGCTGCGACCCACATGTTGAGGACCGCTGCTTTATAGTTTACAGCCCCTGAATGCTAAGAAAAAGAAATAAATAAATAAACCTAATTGAACATTTATTTTCTTTACAGAAACACAAAAATATCCTTATCTACACCCAAGGACAGGATGGCGTCTGCTGTGCTAGGACCAGAATCCCACAGTCCACTCTCAGTGATTGCAGAGAAGTATCAGACCAGGTTGGACATTGCTTGTCCAGAGGATGAACAGAAGTTCAGCTTTGGGGTGGAGTATCAGAAAAAGTTGTTCTCTCTCATTGATGACCATCTGGAACTGGACCCTTCTGACAGATTAGTAGGTCGTTTGTTGAGTTTTTATCCATATCACAACCGAGAAGCTGTGAATAGATTAATGTTTTAAATAATAATTATGCAAATTAAATATATGACTAGAAAAATAAATGATTGTAATATATATAAATATAAATAAATAAATAAATAAATAAATAAATAAATAAATAAATAAATAAATAAATAAATAAATAAATATATGTACACACACACACACACACACACACACACACACATATATGTGTATATATACAGTCGAGCCCACTTAAGTCAAATTTCGGTTAAGTCGACATGACCAGCTTAGTCCCGACAATTTTCTCTATTGTTTGTGCTGTCTGAATGAGTAGAAATCCTGATAAGTGGAAGCATTTTCTTAGGTCCCTGCGACTTCTACTTAACCAGACTCGACTATATATATATATACACACACACACATATATATATATATATATACACACATATATATATATAAAAAATAGAAAAGGTATACACTGAAAATACAAACATCATCATCACATAGCAAGTAATTATGTAGCCACAAGCGCAGTGAATATCCAAATTTAAGGATAACACTTCAAAGTTTATTCAGTTTCCTAAAAAATTCCAAAGTTATGAAAATTTTCTGGATTAGTTAAGCACTCAGAGGCTCTAAGTTCTCACTGAGTGCTGAACAAAATTTCAGAGCAAAAAAATGACAGAAATGTGGACCATTACACACACAATATTTACTTTGTACAGTTAAATACAGACTGTAGCTCTATATACAGCAACTTTTGCTTTTGATGTTTATGAGGGGTTCCAGAACCGACAGGAGTAGTTAGCGTCCTTTGGATATTTTCTCCAGGTTATGCTGGTGTGTTGGGAAAGGGGCAGACGGATAGACTGGCTGGCTCTGCACCACTTGGTGGTGAATTGATGTAAGACAAGTTAGATATTGTTAGGGCCCTTTGGGAGCGAGTAAACAGCGCTGAAGCACAGATGGATCATTACGGTCTGAGGAGAATGATGTTGCAAGGAGTTACCAGGGGATCTGGCAGATGCTCAACAATCAGGAGAAGGGCGAGACAGATAAACAATCAGACAGTTACTGGTGCCATCAAATTGCAACTCTTCGTTTGCTGCTGAAGATGGGGACTGAGCACTTATAGAGGTGTCCCGAGTGCTGTGATGTCAATTCTTAATTCAACATTCAGCATACAGACTGTAGCTGCAGTGATTTCAGTGTAGCTTATCCATAGTATGGTACTGTCTTTCCTTGTTTGGAGCACTTTCCTTCTCTTACAACCTAAAGATAGTAGCAATGGAACATTCTCTTTGTCAGACTCATCAACTTGAACAGAACAGACCAAGTCACAGTTTTTCGCTTACGCACTGGACACTGCAGACTCAATAAACACTCATATAAATTAGGTATGAGCCAAACAGCTCTCTGCCAGTGTCTTCGTGCTGAACAGACTCCAGAACATGTCCTGCAAGACTGTCCTCTCCTGGCGGAGCTGCGGAGCGACATATGGCAACACCCAGTAAAGCTGACAACTAAGCGCTTTGGGGAAACCTAAGAGACCTTGAAAAGACATCCCAGTTTATGACCCACAGTGGATTATGCTCATGACCAGAGATCGCTGAAGAAGAAGAAGACTCATCAGAACTGCTAGAACTAGATTCCCTGACAGCTGACTGATCGCACAGCTGCTGCTGCCGTAAATTCACCGTCTGAATCGCTTTCTGAAAAATCAAAATTTTCATTATCATTATCAGAATTAAAAAAATCAGACTGAAACATTTTTAGAGCTTTGGCCGGAGAAAGAAGCATTTTGTGGTCTGTACTTGTGGTTGGAACATTGGTACCCGTTGCATCGAACAGGAAATTACAATGAATGCGACCGTCAGAAAACCCAAATTCACTGAATTTATGAAGTAGCAATGGAAATAATTTTATGTTTGGGGGCCGCCATAAAATCAGAAACTGTATTTAGGGGTCGCAGCATTAGGAAGGTTGACAACACTGTTCTGCGAGAAGTAAGACGTTTGCGAGAACCAAGTGATGACTGTGAATCTCCAACCAGGACCAGACTGCAAGAACCACTTGTTAAAAAGAGCACTATGCCAAAGAAGAAAAGGTATCATCAGACACTGCAGGATTTACTAAGGAGGTCCGAGCACTCATGGACTGAATGGTTCGATGTGCAATGCGGATAATTTGTCATATAGCTCACTAACTAGCAAAAAATGTGATCAGTTTGTGCCCAAATGTGCATGAATAAAGACTCCTATACAAAGAAAAACATTAGAGTAACCTTCCCTGAATACTTTAATGATAGATCCGAACATTAAAAAAGAAAAACGGAGCGGTAAGTGAATCACTATGTACAGGACACACAATGGTCGCAGAGTGTTTTTTGGGCAAATCTGAACTTCTTAATCAATACTGACATCATTGCTGGGGCCTCAGAGAGTTAGGGACTGGGAGATAATCCACGACTGACATTTGTATGTTGCTACAGGGAAGATGCACACTTTCAAAATTTTAACTTTGATTTCCTTGCTGGTGCTTAACCATAGATTTTTCATGTTGTCTAATCTCTGCATTGTTATGACCATCCTCCTTTTGACTTCTTTTGAACAGTGTCCTTTGCTGTTTATTGTCAAGCCTAGATATTCAAAGTTTGTGACATTTTCAATTTCTTTATCATTTAATAGAGGTTAGACACGAATATATTGAATAAGTGGCCATGGACCAAAACAGGTGATGGTCACTGAGAGGAGGCGAGTTAGTTGGTGGGACAGCTAACTCTATAAAATACCTCAAAACTCTACGACATGGCCATCGGCGAATAAGAGGCGCCATAACCTCTTCCCCCCTGCTGCCTTGCAGGGTAAGTCTCTTTAGAGTCAAACCATATACAAACCGGCGGAAGGCAAGGGGAAACCACCGCTGTACTATCCCAAGAAAATCATGCCTTAAAATAATACAAATTCAGATAACGACGTTAATGGGGATTCCAGTGGAATCACCTCGTCCGGTAGGGAGCATCATGTTCTACGGGTGATACCCGACCGTCATCCAGCTACTGTAGAAAAAGTAAATGGTAGAAACATCATGAACATTGGTACATGGAATGTCAGAACACTCGTACAAAATGCAAAACTGGATAACATCAAGATGGAAATGAAAAGAATGAACATCAACATATTAGGAATTAGTGAAATGCGATGGCCAGGAGCAGGTGAAAAGTATTCAGATCAGCACAGAATTATCTACTCGGGTGGTAAGGAATGTAGTAAGGGAGTTGGTATTATTTTGGATCAAAAGAACTCAAAAACTAGGAAAGGATTTTGGACAATGTCAGATAGAGTACTATTAGTAAAACTTTGCTGCAGACCGTTTGACATCAACTTAGTACAGATTTATGCCCCAACAGCAGATGGTTCAGAGGAAGATATTGACTCATTTTATGATGAGTTAGACATGGCTGTTGATCAATGCAAAAAATTGTGAAGTAACAATGGTACTTGGAGATTTCAACGCGAAAATAGGAAGTGAAAAAGTGTATGGAATAACGGGTGGCTATGGCCTAGGAGAAAAGAATGTGAGAGGTGACAGATTAATAGCATGGGCTGAGTCAGGCAGCATGATAATAGGTAACACCTGGTTTAAACACCATCCTCGAAGATTGTGGACTTGGAAAAGTCCTGGTGATAATGTCCGCAATCAGATTGATTATATTTTGATTTCAAGAAGATTCAGGAGCAGCTTAGTTGGAGCAAAAACTAGACCAGTATCAGACTGCTTTAGTGACCATGTTCCAGTTGTAGGAAAAATTAGAATAAAACTAAAGAACATTAGAAAAACACCACAGAACATCAAGTTAAATTTAGGAATTCTTAGAACGGATAAAGAAATTAAGGACCAGTACAATGTCACTGTACAAAACCGGTATAATGCAATGGAAATTATACAGACTATTGATGAACAGTGGGATATGTTGCGTGAGTCAATTCAGCAGACATCTAAAGAGACAATCCCACCAACCCATAGAGTTGCAAAAAAGAAATGGATGTCAACCGAAATTCTGCAGTTGATGGATGAAAGAAGGAAGAAAAAGAATGATAAAGAAGAATACTCTAGAATACAAAAAGAAATAGTGAACAAATGCAAAGTGGCTAAAGAAGCCTGGCTGAATCAAATGTGTACAGAGATTGGGGAAAACAAAAGGAAAGACTCGCATTCCATGTACCAAAAGATAAATATGTTAACAGGAAAGATGACACGTAACAGCACTGGATGTCTGAAATCAAAAGATGGTGACTTATTAATGGGATATAGTAATATAATTAACAGATGGACAGAGTATATAGGGGAATTGTATGATGATAATAGACCAGATGTAGAACTGCAGACCAACAATGATGGTCCACCAATAATGACTGCAGAAGTTGAGGATGCAATACATCAATTGAAGAAAGGAAAAGCACCCGAGCCAGACAACATCTCACTGGAAGAAATCGAAGCACTGGGAGATTTTGGAATTGAAATAATAACTAAACTTTTAAATGATATTTATGATAGTGGGTATATTCCAAATGACCTTTTAAAATCCATATTTATAGCTCTGCCTAAGAAACCAGGCACTATAAAATGTGAAGACCATCGCACAATAAGTCTTATGAGTCACATGACTAAGATTTTACTGAGAATAATTATGAGAAGAATAAGAAACAAAATTAAACCAGAAATCAGCGATGAACAATGTGGATTTATAGAAGGAAAAGGTACAAACAATGCCATATACATCCTAAGGACATTGTCAGAAAGAGCTATAGAAGTAAAGACTGATTTGTACATATGCTTCATAGACTATACAAAAGCATTTGACTGTGTGAAGCATGAAGAAGTAATCAAACTGTTAGAAAAATTAAACATTGATGGGAAAGATCTACGAATAATAAAGAATATGTATTGGCAGCAAACAGCAGCTATAAGAATTAACAACTGTTTAGGTATATTTCAAAGCATAAAGAGGGGCGTACGCCAAGGATGTGTACTGTCACCTGATTTGTTTTCAATATACAGTGAATATATAATGAGAGCTTTAATTGGTATTCCAGGAATCGTGGTTGGTGGGCACAATATAAACAATTTACATTATGCTGATGACACAGTCTTGATAGCAACAAGTCAGAAAGAACTACAGGAAATGATAGACATTGTGGTGTTAGAAAGTGGAAGAATGGGCCTCAGTTTGAATAATGGGAAGACAGAAGTAATGGTGGTATCAAAGAAACAAATTATTCCTAAATGTGTAATAAAAGTTTATGGTGTTATTTTAGGACAAGTACAGAAATTTAAGTATCTAGGCACATGGATAACATCAGATGGAAGATGCATAACTGAGATAAGAAACAGAATAGGACAGGCAAAACTTGCATTTTATAAAATGAAAAACATCTTGTGCAATATATCCTTGTCATTGAGAGTTAGAAAAAGAATTCTTGCTTGCTACATACATCCAGTTTTAACATATGGCTGTGAATCCTGGACAATCGGTAGGCAGGCCAAACAATTTCTGGAGGCCTCGGAGATGTGGTTTTACAGAAGAATGCTTACAATACCTTGGACAGCCAAAAAGAGCCACCAAGAAGTTTTGAAAGAGGCGGGAGCCCGAAGACAACTTATCACAGACATCAGAAGGAGACAGTCATCATTTTTCGGCCATGTTATGAAAAGAGGGAAAATAGAACATGTTGTGACCACTGGAAAGATCTGTGGAAGGAGAGATAGAGGAAGACAACGAGAGAAGTTGCTTGACAGTCTTGTTGCATGGCATGGAGGTGTGTCGGCACACGAACTGATACATGCTGCAGGAGATCGCAGATTATGGAGAGGCATGATCGCCCACGCCAGTCGGCAAGGCACCTGATGATGATGATCATTTATTGTCATTTTTAGGATGACAGCTTGTTTTTGCCTGTGGACATTTTTTTTTTCTTCAAATTCAAGTACAGGTGAGTGCTCTGCTCTGTGATACTCTTGCTTATATCAGAGGGCACCCCAGTGGTGTCCACGTGTCCCAGCGGATACTCGGTCCCCATAGCTGTGTTGGCCACACCGTAGTGTGTTTACCATCCTCTACCCTGTGTGTAGGTGCAGTTGGGGTTTTCTCTTCACTGAGTCTTGAGACCCGAATGGCATTTCCCAAAACTCTGCAGTAGTTTTAGCAGATACAAATATAATAAACACTGTAAAAAATAAATGTAAACCACCTTAAGGGTTTGGGCACCGACACATAGAAAACATAGGGTAGGGGAAGGATAGGGGGGGGGGGGACGTTCTCTTATTCCCCCTACCCCCTCCTTACAGTGTTCTCTGGGGAGGTTTTCTTATCCCTCTTACACATTTTGTGGCGGGGGAGGTTTGGACCTCAGGAGCCGAATGTTTAAGTGCAAAACAGCAAATAATAGTATTAGTAATAATAATGTGCTGAACGGCAGTTAATATAATAATATGAAATATGTAAACAATAATTTTAAAAAAATGTAAAAAGAGAACATCAGGAGTAGGAAGGACAGTTTGTCATGTTTTAAAATTCCCATTTCCCAGATTTATGTGGGTGATATGAAAGGCAGCATAGCCAGGGATTTGGAAAAACATTTCTGCCTAATTCATCAAGTTCAGTCGGTGGTACCTGGGCATTTCCACCATGTTGAGACCAGCGTTGGACACAAAACTTTACCTGTCAGGCTTTCACATGTTGGAGCTGAAGATTATTTCAGGTACATTTTTTTAGTTAACTTTTTATGTTCGGGGATCTCTGTGGCAAAGTGGTCAAGTCGTTTGCCTCGAGCTCTGAAGGTTGTGGGTTTGTTCCATGGCTGCGCCCTTCTGTTCACAAATGCAAGTTGTACGTAGAGCCCTGGGGATCGTCACCCGAACTACGGAGTTCATGCTGTGTGCATTGCTCTCGGAAGACGGCTAGCCGTTCTGCGGAGGGAGACTGAGCCATATGTGATAAAACCTAGTGCAGTGAAGTCCATCCTGACATCTTTAGCCTTTAACCTTTAACCTTTTATGTTCAGAAACTATGCACAGAGCGGATATCATGAACACTGTAAGGACTAGGTTAATGGCTAACTATCAATCTCAGATACTAACAAGATTGCATGACATTGGAGTAAAGCAGGGTAAAGCACGTCTATGCCACCTTTGAGCCTGAGATTGGAGACATTATAACCAGCTCCTCATGAGATCAGTCAGTAGAAACACCTTAGAGTGATTGCTGCATCAGATCTTCTTTGCGTTCACCAGCTGTAAACTACAGCTTAAAGTGCTGGTTGTTTGTCCACTTCTGGACTGCAGTCCTGTTCCAGAACCTGAGTGTTGCATGTGTATCCATTTGACAGATCTGACTGATTTGTATGCAGACTGTTGGTTCCTTGCCTCTCAGGCAGATGAACTCCAGCTTTGAAGGAAGCTCCCAATTAGTCGATTCTTATGACATGCTTTTGGGTTGACAGTGGGTCTGTTCTTGTTTCCCCTATAATAGGGCCTTGCTGCATCGGATAAGTGAGCACGCTTGGAAATACCTGGTGTGCAGTGATGTCAATTGTGATAACATAACATATAATGTAATATTCCTCCTCTGGGACTGAAACCGGAAGGCACTCTGGGATAAAATGAACAGTATAATAGAACAGACAGGGAATCAATACATTTACTTACTTAGTCGCTCCTCTTCTACCTTTGGATGTAGAGGTTTGCCAGAGAGATCGCCAGAGGTCTCTGTCAGCAGTTTTCTTTCTGGCTTTGTTCCATTCCAGTCCTCTGTCAGTTGGGGGCTATCAGATGTTTTCTTCCCAGGGGACCCTGGGTCTTAGCCTCCCATGCCTGCCATCATGATCTGGTGTTTTTCTCCTCCCTTGAGATCAACACACATTGAAAGACTATTTCATGAAAGGGGAGGGGGGGGGGGTGAGTAAAGATTCTGGAAGATATGCAACCCTGAGGGGAAACATAGGCAAACTTAATCAGGTTGCAACTGGTACTATACTGTTAGCATGTCAGCTGTTAATTAGCACGGAAGAAGGGAATGAAGCACATTGTTCCGAGTGCAGTGATGTCACTTCCTGCTGCTTTTGCTTCCTTTGAAGTTGTAGTGCATCTGCCTGAGAGGCAAGGAACCAGCAGTCTGCATACAAATGAGTCAGATCTTTAAAATGGATGCACAAGCAACACTCAGGTTCTGGAACAGGACTGCAGTCCAGAAGTGGGTGAACAACCAGAACTTTCTGCCAGTTTACAGCTGGTGAACGCAAAAAAGAAGAATTCCTGCTTCATTCATTCATTCATTCATTCATTTATTCATTCATTCATTTATTCCTGAAGATTTTAAACTAATTGAATCAAGAAGAAAATGTTTGTATGCCAGTCCAACAGGAATAAAACCCCAAAAAATCTCAGTATGGGTTCTGAGGCCCCATTATGGGGACAACAAGAATAGACCCACTGCCTCCCAAACAAGCATGTTGTAGGAGTCGACTAACTGGGGACTTCCTTCAAAGTCGGAGTGCATCTACCCGAGCGGCAAGGAACAACCAGCTGCACACAAATAAGCCAGTAAAACGGATGTACACGCAAAACTCAGGCCCTGGCACAAAGCCAAAGTCCAAATGGACGAACAACCAGGACTTGTCGCTGGAGCTTACAGCCGGTGAACAAAGAAGACGATGAAAAAATCCTATAAACTTGTTCAAATACAATAAGCAGACAAGCGGAAAAAACATCTGCTTGCAATGCAGATGTGGTTTTTGAGAAGAATGCAAAGAATTTCATGGAATTATATAAAAGCTGACAAGACAATCCTTGTTGAGATGGATGAAAACCCTAAACTGGTTAGAAACCAAAAAAAAAAAAAAAAAAAGATGAGCAGTCAGTGCTTTGTGGGAATGTTGTGGGAAGGAATGGACTCAAGAACTTGGTTACAACTGGCAAGATGGAAAGAAAAAGAGCAAGAGGAAAGCAGATTTTGCTAGCACACTTGCCATCACCATGGGCTGTGGTTCACATACCTCCCTAAAGCACTATCATTGGGAAAGATGGAAAGGCTTCAAGCAAACCAACCCACCCCCTCCTCCCCCATGTGGGTTCAGGGGCCCAATTATGGGGGAGGGGAGTGTAAGAACCCGCCCCCTTTTTTACAAGCATGTCATAAAAGTAGATTAATTAGGGTTTCCATCAGTCACGGCGGATCTGTCTGAGAGGCCAGGAAGCAACAGTATACTTGCAGATAAGCCAGCTCTGTAAAACGGGTGTGCACATAACACTTAGGTTCCGGAATAAGACTAAGTCCAGAAGTGGACAAACCACCAGAAATTTATGTCAGAGGTTACAGCCGGTGAGTGCAAAGAAGAAGGAGAAGAAGTTTAACCTTACTACTGTAAACAGAGCCTTTCACTGTCACAGGATGTGCTAAACTAGGCCTTACTCCACCCAATCTGTTTATTATTTTATATAACTAACAACATCCTAATGTACATGATGCAGATGCGAAGTTCCAGTACTTGTTTCTGAGTTTGGAGAGGGGAGGTAAATTTTTGCAACACAGTTGCCATGGATCAGTCAACCACTCAGAGCACGTCTTAGTATCCATTTTAGGCCGAGTTTACTTGTGAGTCTAGGCCAAGTTTACTTGTGAGTCTAGGCCAAGTTTACTTGTGAGTCTAGGCCAAGTTTACTTGTGAGTCTAGGCCAAGTTTACTTGTGAGTCTAGGCCAAGTTTACTTGTGAGTCTAGGCCAAGTTTACTTGTGAGTCTAGGCCAAGTTTACTTGTGAGTCTAGGCCAAGTTTACTTGTGAGTCTAGGCCAAGTTTACTTGTGAGTCTAGGCCAAGTTTACTTGTGAGTCTAGGCCAAGTTTACTTGTGAGTCTAGGCCAAGTTTACTTGTGAGTCTAGGCCAAGTTTACTTGTGAGTCTAGGCCAAGTTTACTTGTGAGTCTAGGCCAAGTTTACTTGTGAGTCTAGGCCAAGTTTACTTGTGAGTCTAGGCCAGTTAAAAAAAAAAAAAATCTCACTGGATAAAAATGACAATTGAGACAGCAGATGAGCGATCTAATGACTGTGCTTTCAATACTCCAGCTTGTAGGTGGCTAGATGTTTGTGTGTGACTATGTGTGATTGTATGTATGTGTATATGTGTGTGTGTTTGTGAGTGTGTGTGTGTCTGTATGTCTTTCTGTCTGTCTGGATGGATGGATGGGGAGGGAGAGAGGGAGGGAGGTAGGTAGGTAGGTATGTCATCTTCTTCTTGGCATTCACAGGCTGTAAACTCCGGCTGAAAGTTCTGAGTGTTTGTCCACCTTCGGACTTCAGTCTTGTTCCAGAACCTGGGGACTGCGTACACATCCATTTCGTACATCTGGCTTTTTTTGTATGCAGACTCTTGGTTCCTTGCCTCTCCGGCAGATGTACTCTGACTTCGAAGATGCCTCCAGTTAGTCGACTCCTATAAGATGCATTGTTAGGAAGGCAGCGGGTCTATTCTTGTTTTCTCCACAACTGGACCTCGGAACCTGCAGGAGGAATATATATATATATATATGCATGCATGTGTGAATGTTTTAATATAAAGGAACACATGATGTATTTGTCTGCACATATTTTAAATTAATGACCTGTGCAATATATAGTATGTTTGTTACTCCACAGAAATTCAGCAGAAGAAAGTGTGACCAGCAAAGTCAAATACAACCAAATTTTGGTTAACAACTGTGTTAGATACCTGGAACAGCCAAGAACTGCTTACAAAAACATGATTGCCAGCTTGGCTTCTGGAGGCAGACTATTAATAATTCATCGAACGGGAAGTCTCAACACATTGCCCTACTTCAGCGATGCAGTCCAGAGGTACAGGGTTATAATGTTTGCCTGCTTCCACTTCATCTTCTTCTTAACGTTCACCGGCTTTAAACACCAGCTGACAGTTCTGGTTTTTCATCCACTTCTAGGATTTGGTCTTGTTCCAGATCCTGTGTTTTGCTCGCAGATCCATTTCTGGCTTAGTTGTGTGCCAACTGTTGGTTCCTCAGGCAGATGCACTCTGAAAGAAACCCCTAATTTTTTTTACCTTTAGCTACTTCCGTTTTCAAAATGGCGAACAGCAATAGCGTTGTTTTTTTGTGGGTGTGATTTCTCTTAGATTGTTCTGTTTCCTTATCATGGATTGCTATTTTGTGCACATTTCCAATGCAAGATACTATGTGTTTTTTCGTGGGAGCAGTGTGTACTGTGGTTGTGCTTGTTGGGGCAGGATAATGAGTGATAGTTTTAGCAGCATCGACCATGCTGACTCGAAATATTTTGATCACGGCGGCCCACTGTCCAGGAAGACAGAAACTGGCCAGCAGGGGGCAGCAGCTGTCTAGAGAGCAAACTCCAACAAACTGTCCAGAGAAATGGAATGTGTCAACCATTTTTGTTGTTGTTGGTGGGGAGGCATCGACACATACGGTTAACTCATTGGCCATGCCATTTTACCCTTATGACATGCATGTTAAAGAGGCAGTGAGTCAGCTCTTTTTCCCTCCCCACAATGGGGCCTCGGAACCCACACAGGAATAACAGCGATATGAGTGTTGTCCATTTAGGAAGCCCTAGCAAATTTTATATAAAATTGCCTAGTAAAATTACAAACAGGCAACAAATGCTGATTGTGGTCTGCAATGTCCTGTAAGGGGTGTGTGACTAACTTTTCACTTTTAATATGTTTTCAGTACTTTTCTTTTAGTTCACACCATCTCAGGGACACCAAGATTTTTTTTTGAGTTCCCGGGAAATTCCAATATTATGGGGGGGGGGGGGGGGGGGGGGGGGGGGGGGATAGGAAAGGAGGTTATTCCGTGTACATTTCACACCCTAACACCCCATACTATTGATCTTTCCCGGGAACTCCCTCACGATACCTCAGTCCCCGAGATAGAGTGAATTAAATTAAAAGAACCTTGCTTTTTTTTATAATATGATTCAAACATATATCACACCACCTGCACAGAAATACACACCACGCCCCCACACATTAACACAGCACACCCTTAAACACACACCACATTTCCATACACATTCACACACCACACTTTACACAAGCACACACCGCATCCCCAACACACAAACGCACATCTCCACACATAGAGACACCCCACATTACAAGACATGAACACACACCACATCCTCAGCGCAACACACAAAGATACACATCCCCACACATAGACACACACCACATCCCCACACGTAAACACACACCACACCTTACACAAACACACACCACACCCCTACACATGTCCCCCACACACAAATACACACCACATCATGACACAAAATCACACACCACACCTTACACAAACACACATCACATCCCTGTACAAACACACGCAAACACACCACATCCCCATACAAACACACGCAAACACACCACATCGTCATACAAACACACGCAAACACACCACATCCCCATACATAAACACACACCATACCCAAACACATAAAGACACACCACATCCCCACACATAAACACACACCACACCTTACACAAACACACACCACACCCCTACACATGTCCCCATACACAAATACACACCTCATCCCCACATACAAACACACACCACATCCCCATACAAACACACACCACACACAAACACACACCACATCCCCATACAAACACACACCACACACAAACACACACCACATCCCCATACAAACACACACCACACACAAACACACACCACACCCCCATACAAACACACACCACACACAAACACACCACATCCCCATACAAACACACGCAAACACACCACATCCCCATACATAAACACACACCATACCCAAACACATTAACATACACGACATCCTCACACAAATGTCTGCATGTTACCACTTTCAGTGCATGCAAACTCACGTTTACAAATCTATTCCTCACAGGTTAACAGACACCGACATGAATTATGCAGATATCGTTAAAGACCTTCACCTGTGTAACCTCGATGTGACCTCGAAGATTGAGTGCCTGCCAGTATCTATGTCCAAGAAGAAATGGTTGTCTTTGTTGAAGGACAGGTTTCCCACACAGACTGAGATATTCACTGACATAGAGGTTGTGTCAGGGATAAGAGAATTGTCTGAAGGGATACTGAAATACGAGGGAGACATAGTAAGTGATATTGAAATATGAGGGAGATATGTTCAGAGGTATAAACATTTGAGGGAGATGGGACAAGTGGTATGAAAATTTGAGGGAGATATGATAAGTGGTATGAACATTTAAGGGAGACTTGATGAGAAGTATGAAAATCTGAGAGCAAAAGGATAGGTGGCTATTAAAACTTGAGGGAGATATGATAAGTGGCATACAATTTTGAGAGAGATATGATAAGTGGCATAAAATTTTGAGAGAGATATGATAAGTGGCATACAATTTTGAGAGAGATATGACAAGTGGCATAAAATTTTGAGAGAGATATAAGTGGCATACAATTTTGAGAGAGATATGATAAGTGGCATACAATTTTGAGAGAGATATGATAAGTGGCATAACATTTTGAGAGAGATATGATAAGTGGCATAAAATTTTGAGAGAGATATGATAAGTGGCATAACATTTTGAGAGAGATATGATGTAGCATAACATTTTGAGAGAGATATGATGTGGCATGAAATTTTGAGTGAGGTATGATAAGTGACCATGAAAACTTGAGGTAGATATGATAAGTGGTATGAAAATTTGAGGGAGGTATGATAGTGGCTATGAAAATTTGAGGAAGATATGATAGTGGCTATGAAAATTAGACACAGACATGATAAGTGGTTGGAAAAATTGAATAGCAGTCTGATAAGTGGCTATGAAAATCTCAGGGAGATAGGTGGCCCTGACATTTTGAGGGAGATATGATAGTGGCTATAAAAATTTGAAGGAGATATGATAAGTGATGCTGAAATATGTGGGAGGTATTGTAAGGGACTTTAAAATAAGAGAGAAATATAGTGACAATAACGTGTGTGAGACAGGGTATGTGATGCTAATATGTGTGAGAGACAGGGTAAGTTATGCAAAAATGTATGAGCAATAAGGTAAGTGATACTAAAATATCAGAGACATGAGGTAAGTAAAGTAAAGGAACATTTTCCACGTTGTTTGAGGTATGAGCATATAGGGCTAGACCTATATTTTATAGACTAATCAGCTGTTGACCGGCATTGTGGTTAACACATATTGGCCACCTTTACTTCCCATGACTTAACCTAACACTCATTTAAGGCTGGGTTGACGTGGAAGCCGAGCTCATGGTTGAAACAAATCTGACTGCTTGAGGTATGTGATAAAAATATGAAGGAGATCTTCAATACTAAGGTATGAGGTAGTTACAATAAGTGATACTAAAAATTAGTGAGATTTAGTAAGTGATAGATAGGCTGTTTATTACTAAGTCAAGCATTAACATTTTTGTCCTGCTGTATCAAATTTACTCAAATTCAATAATCCAACACACAAGATATTATAAAATGCAATTTCACATCTTTGTTTTTTATTTCAGGTTGATTTCGTTGATCGGCTGGTTTTTATCTCGGCCACCGCCCATCAGAATTCAGGAGGGCATACAACCGAAGGAAAGAAAATGGCAAATGTGGCGTTGTTGCCTCGGACAGCTGCCCTTAAATATGTTGTGAAAATATGCCCTGAACAGCTCAAAGAATTGATGGGGAGATTAAAGAGTTGATGGGGAGATTAAAGAGTTGATCTGGAGATTAGAGAATTGTTGGGGAGATTAAAGAATTGGTAGGGAGATTGAAGAGTTGATGAGGAGATTAAAGAATTGATGGAGAGATTAAAGAATTGATGGGGAGATTAGAGAGTTGATGAGGAGATGCAAGAGATGATGGGAAAATTAAAGTTGATGGAGCGATAGAAGAATTGAATTCATGGATGAGCAGCAAGGAACAACAATCTGTACACAAATAAGCCAGCAGAACATAGGTACATGCACAATTCAGGCTCTGGCAAAAAGCCCAAGTCATAATGGACGAACACAGAACTTTTCACTAAAGCTTACAGCCGGTCAACAAAGAAGACGGAGAAGAATAAACCAGACCCAAAAAACAAAAAAACTGTTATCAGATTTCTTCCAACATATGAAGTGAAGTTATACAGCTTTCTGTGAAGTTATACAGCTTTCTCTGACATGTGAGTTCTGGGAATGCTGTTTACAGCCGATAGTCCTGGATGTTCAGGTCTGTGAGGATTCCTGCAGAGAACAGAGTGAATTAACTCTTTCAGTCCCAAGGAACGCATAATACATACATAGCTTCCTACCCAGACGCCCAGTGAATGCAAGATGTGTGATTCTACATTTCTCGTGACTACCAATTGGGCCTCTGATGCTAAACTGCCTGCAACTCAAAGAGCTAATTAGTACCTGCGACTCAGAGAGTTAAGTATTATGCTAAAATCACTAATCTGGAGCTTCTCAGAGAGGACTAAACTAATTCCAGTGAATCTGGAGGATCATGCCTGTGTCTTCTTCTTCTTCTTCTTCTTTACATCCTCTGTTACCGCTTCAGGTGTTGATAGAGATATGAGGTCCTGCTTTGTGCTTTTCTGGCTGCTTCAACCATAGACACAACGTCGTACTGTAGAGTTCCTCTGATGTTATCTTTCCATATTATTCTTGGTCTACCTCTTGCTCTACGTCCCTCTCCTCTTTTGGTATATGCCTTGTATAGTATAGCATCAGAAGGCATTCTCTCCTAGTGAGCAAACCATTTGATCTGCTGTCTTTGTATGTAATTTAGAATTGGTTTTGTGCCGACTCTATCTCGTATGACCTCATTCCTGATTTTATCTCTTCTGGTCACTCCCACAGTCTTTCTCAGACACCTCATTTCCATGGTTACTAATTTTCTTTTATGTTTTGTTGTGAGTGACCACGTCTGGCACTGGTAGCATAGGGTAGGGATGCCTGTCCATAAAAGTGAATATGTATTTTTTTTTTTTTTTTGGGCATGACCTAACCAAATTATTTATATAGTTGTGTGATTCTGTCCAAATATTTATACTGCTCAAGTCCATCAAATGTTTGTAAATGTATGATATTGCCCCGCCAAAATGGGTATATTCTTGCATGCCTGAGCCCAAAAGCTTGCATTACTGCATAAGTCAGTCAATTATAACTACACCATACCTTTGTGCAGGCGTTTTTTTTTTCTTGCAAAAAGGTGCCAGTACTCACCATGTAGTGTCTATAAAAGGTGCCAGTACTCACCATGTAGTGTCTAGTAGACAAGTGCCAGTACTCACCATGTAGTGTCTAGTAGACAAGTGCCAGTACTCACCATGTAGTGTCTAGTAGACAAGTGCCAGTACTCACCATGTAGTGTCTAGTAGACAAGTGCCAGTACTCACCATGTAGTGTCTATAAAAGGTGCCAGTAATGACCATGTAGTGTCTATAAAAGGTGCCAGTACTCACCATGAAGTGTCTATAAAAGGTACCAGTACTCATCATAAAGTGTCTATAAAAGGTGCCAGTAATCATCATGTAGTGTATAGAAAACGTGCCAGTGCTCACCATGTAGTGTCTAGTAGACAAGTGCCAGTACTCACCATGAAGTGTCTATAAAAGGTGTCAGTACTCACCATGTAGTGTCTATAAAAGGTGCCAGTAATCATCATGTAGTGTCTAGAAAAGGTGCCAGTACTCACCATGTAGTGTCTAGTAGACAAGTGCCAGTACTCACCATGTAGTGTCTAGTAGACAAGTGCCAGTACTCACCATGTAGTGTCTATAAAAGGTGCCAGTAATGACCATGTAGTGTCTATAAAAGGTGCCAGTACTCACCATGAAGTGTCTATAAAAGGTACCAGTACTCATCATAAAGTGTCTAGTAGACAAGTGCCAGTACTCACCATGAAGTGTCTATAAAAGGTGTCAGTACTCACCATGTAGTGTCTATAAAAGGTGCCAGTAATCATCATGTAGTGTCTAGAAAAGGTGCCAGTACTCACCATGTAGTGTCTAGTAGACAAGTGCCAGTACTCACCATGAAGTGTCTATAAAAGGTGTCAGTACTCACCATGTAGTGTCTAGAAAAGTTACCAGTACTCACCATGTAGTGTCTATTAAAGGTGCCAGTACTCACCATGTAGTGTCTAGAAAACGTGCCGGTACTCACCATGTAGTGTCTAGTAGACAAGTGCCAGCACTCACCATGAAGTGTCTATAAAAAGTGTCAGTACTCACCATGTAGTGTCTATAAAAGGTGCCAGTAATCATCATGTAGTGTCTAGAAAAGGTGCCAGTACTCACCATGTAGTGTCTAGTAGACAAGTGCCAGTACTCACCATGAAGTGTCTATAAAAGGTGTCAGTACTCACCATGTAGTGTCTAGAAAAGTTACCTGTACTCACCATGTAGTGTCTATTAAAGGTGCCAGTACTCACCATGTAGTGTCTAGAAAACGTGCCGGTACTCACCATGTAGTGTCTAGTAGACAAGTGCCAGCACTCACCATGAAGTGTCTATAAAAAGTGCCAGTACTCACCATAAAGTGTCTAGTAGACAAGTGCCAGTACTCAGCATGAAGTGTCTATAAAAGGTGTCAGTACTCACCATGTAGTGTCTATAAAAGGTGCCAGTACTCACCATGAAGTGTCTAGAAAAGGTGCCAGTACTCACCATAAAGTGTCTATAAAAGGTGTCAGTACTCACCATGTAGTGTCTAGTAGACAAGTGCCAGTACTCACCATGAAGTGTCTAGTAGACAAGTGCCAGTACTCACCATGTAGTGTCTATAAAAGGTGCCAGTACTCACCATGTAGTGTCTAGTAGACAAGTGCCAGTACTCACCATGTAGTGTCTATAAAAGGTGTCAGTACTCACCATGTAGTGTCTAGAAAAAGTGTCAGTACTCACCATGAAGTGTCTAGAAAAGGTGCCAGTACTCACCATGAAGTGTCTATAAAAGGTGCCAGTACTCACCATGAAGTGTCTAGAAAAGGTGTTCTCACCATGTAGTGTCTATAAAAGGTGCCAGTACTCACCATGAAGTGTCTAGAAAAGATGTCAGTACTCACCATGAAGTGTCTAGTAGACAAGTGCCAGTACTCACCATGTAGTGTCTAGTAGACAAGTGCCAGTACTCACCATGAAGTGTCTAGTAGACAAGTGCCAGTACTCACCATGAAGTGTCTAGTAGACAAGCGCCAGTACTCACCATGTAGTGTCTAGTAGACAAGTGCCAGTACTCACCATGTAGTGTCTAGTAGACAAGTGCCAGTACTCACCATGTAGTGTCTAGTAGACAAGTGCCAGTACTCACTTTGTAGTGTCTAGAAAAGGTGCCAGTACTCACCATGAAGTGTCTAGTAGACAAGTGCCAGTACTCACCATGAAGTGTCTAGTAGACAAGTGCCAGTACTCACCATGAAGTGTCTAGTAGACAAGTGCCAGTACTCACCATGTAGTGTCTAGTAGACAAGTGCCAGTACTCACCATGTAGTGTCTAGTAGACAAGTGCCAGTACTCACCATGCAGTGTCTTGAAAAGGTGCCAGTACTCACCATGAATTGTCTAGTACACAAGTGCCAGTACTCACCATGAAGTGTCTAGTAGACAAGTGCCAGTACTCACCATGAAGTGTCTAGAAAAGGTGCCAGTACTCACCATGAAGTGTCTAGAAAAAGTTTTTTTTTCGAGACAATAAACAAACCATGTTCTAAATGCAACACGCTCATCTCATTCTCTCTCTCTCTCTCTCTCTGCCTCTCATCCCTCTCTCCATGTATCAGTCTCTCTGTCTGTCTGTCTATCTATCACTATCTCTTTTTCTCTTTCTTTCTCTCTTTATCTTTCCCCTCTATTTCTTTCTTTACCGCTCTCTTTATCTCTCTTTTTACCTCTCAGTCTTCCTCCTCTCTCTTTATACCTTTCTTTTAGCCTCTTTTTTCTATCTGGCTCTCTTTCTCTCTCTCTCTCTCTCTCTCTCTCTCTCTCTCTCTCTCTCTCTCTCTCTCTCTCTCTCATTTTCTCGTTCTCTCTCTCTTTCTCTCTGGATATGTTGCGTAATCTTCGGTGGCACTAAGACCATGATTGTCACTGGTCGAGACAGCACTCGGGGCATTCACATGCGTGCTCCGTCCTCATCTTCAGCAGCCAGCGCAGAGTTCCAATACTGATGGTACCGGTCACAATCCGGTTATATGTCCGTCTCGCCTTTCCTCTGAATGTAGAGAGCCGGCGAGAGCCTCTGGTTACACCCAGGTGCCTCATTCTCTCCAGGCATTACAAATCTTAGTTTTCTTACTGATTCCGTTGCTTGTTCCCAGAGGACCTTGACCACATCTGCCTTGCGATGTATCAATTCACCACCCAGGGGTGTTGAACTAGCCCAACAGCCTGCCTGTTCATTATCCACCACGCCGGTATGGCGTAGAGAAAAGATCCAAAGTATGCTCATTACCCGTGACCTTTCCAGTGAAGCTTGCCTTTCTGCTCGAAGCATCCCTGTCCTCACCTTTCTCCGCATGCCTTCAAAGTCTGTTACAATTATGACATGTGTATGCATCTTGTTCTCTAGCCACCGGAGAGCTGCAGTTACCGCCTCCACCTCCATTCTCATGCTAGATGATGTGGTGTCGTATGCTAGGCACTAACTAAAGATGTTCGCTACGAACCCCAGACTCTTCTCTTTCCTCTCAACACTGAACCATCTGTATAGATAAT